TGGGTACCACGCATACCTGGGAGCTGAATTTGAAATATTTAGCAAGTACATGCACAGGGAATATCCTCTCAAACTTTCAGCCCTTTAGCTCGTATGGTTCCCGAGATCGCCCTCCCGCCAAAAAACTTGCATATTTTTTTGAGGCGCCCGCAGGGGATGATATTAAAGTGGGAGAGTCGCGCATGGTACGCGCACATATTTCCAAAGTTTCAGCCTTCTATCTTTTCCCGTTCCCGAGTTATGAATTCTTCCGCCAAAACTTTCAACCTCTCGTACGCGGGGTCCAGACGTGCGTGGGGGATGGTACCGCGGTTCCGGGGTGGTACTTTTGATATTTAACCTCAAATTCGAAAGTCAAGTACGATCATGCCTATTTGTATTTTTGTGTGCATTTTTGGCGTATGTGCCGGCCTGTTTCTGTGGTTCAACTCCAAAGCTGTTGTAGTTTGTAGCATCGTCTCCTGTCCATGTGCAGATCCAGAAAGATAGAATCAAACTTCGTGTTCTCCTACGTTTTAATGTGAGGGATGCCAAAGATATCTTGCGGATGTATGTAATTTCTACAAACTTTGGACGTGCGGTGTGATATCCCAGTCTTTGCCAGCTGCTTAATTAGCACTTAGCAGAGGTTGAGGAACTATCGTAATGAGGTAAAAAAGTATTTCTTCGTCAGTTTTTCTTGGTGCACCGTGCTAAATTTCTTGGTATTACTGTGCTGTTTTCGGGCTTTGGGATACGCTTGGGGCACTACGTTAAAAAATATGCAACTTAGTGGACCGAAACTGTTTTACCTCAGCTATGATCATTTGTACTTTATATAACCTTATGAATTCTAGTAAAGTAATTATGATAATGACAGTAATAATAGCAATAATATTGATAATAACAATAACAAAAATAATAATACCATAAATATGCAACTATTATTATAACTGCTTTAGACACAATTATGTGTTGAAGTGTTTAATATTCCCAAATCAATCTTACAGCTAATTGTTAACGATTTTTTCGAATAAAGTTTATAATTCTATGTTACTCCAACAAACAACTGTTAAACTGTTAAATTTTGAATTCAGATATTGAGTACCGTATTTACAGATATCAACGAATGCATGCTGTTGCTCGACAATTGCTTGGTCGGTCAGCGTTGCGTCAATACACCGGGATCGTTCAAATGTGTTCGGACACTGCCCTGCGGTACCGGATACGTACTGAACAGCGATACCGGACAATGCATTGGTGCATCAGCAGTTCAAGAGTACTTGCAACTAATTGATTCACTGATGCCGTAGCATTAGTATTTTTTGGAAAAATTCCACAATTCGATTAGCTAATGAAACCCGGAACTCCTAATCACAATTCTGGCCACATCACTAGCATGGTTTTCAATGCTCCTTTTTTTCGAGGGTTGCCTACAAACAAGCGCACTGCCATTTCCGAGCGTATACCAGTACCAGTTTACCATCAAAATGAATGAACGAATCGTAGAGGGATTAGTTGTTCCAG